ATGCTTAAGCTTTTCCTCAACTCGTTTTCTCCTGCCCTCTCTGAGACTAATAAGGGCTATGCCAAATACAACAAGGAATTTAAGAATGTAACATATTTTGCTTTTTTGTACTTTTTGAGCTCAAGATACCCCTGAACCAAACCTGCAAACCTGAAAATCCCCACCTTTGAGATTACTTAGCTTCAGGTTTAGACATGTGTATATGTTGCATGGCTCTGTGACTGTAATTTTGGAATGATAGCTGGCTATTTTCAGGTCACATGTTCATGGGATGGTTCCAATTTCTGAAACACTTCAATCTCTTCAAAATCTATGGCCCTAATCTATTTCATTTTAAACTTCTTCCCCATCTGTTCTCCTCATGTCAGCTAGAGGCAAATTTTTCCTCTCTGATTACACTTTTTATTTATGCCATTTTTATCTTTTCTTCAGTACAGTGAGTAGTCAACACAGTACAGTACAGCTGCAACTGAAGCTAGTGGCAAATGCCCACTGATCTTAAACGTGCAGGAGTATGCTTACAGCCATTAATTGTGGGGTTTTTGGCAGAAAGTAGGCCAGGGTAGCACCTTACAGTCACTGGTTCAGAGAGATGTGAGGTTTAATAGGCAATAATCTATTTCATTAGATCCATCATACAAAGTATCTTGTTGCCTATTTAAGAGGCTCATGCCTCTTTAAACCAGTTAGTCTCTATCATCACTTACAGATGTTAAATTAAAGGCATGATGGGATCTGATGCATGATCCCAACAATTATGCTTCCTGCCATGCCGCACATGCATGCCACATGCATGGCACAACTATAGGACTGAGCATCAGATCCCATTGTGCCATGCTGCCAGTGCAGGGGGAGCCACAAATCATGATCAGATCCCATCATACCTGCACCAGCAAAGATCAAGCTCAGCTCCCTGATCAGCTGACCTAGGGTCTCAGTTGGGGGAGCACATGGAGCCTTTTGAATCTGATACCACTTTCCTGGCTGGGAGCACCCATCAGCTGATTGGGGCTCCCAGCCTCTGAAACACACAGGAGTCCTGAAGCGATTCAATTCAAGGTGTGATAGGAACCACCCAGAAAGTTATTACACGTTTCATGCAACACCTTTGTGGCTTATTCCTGGTTTTATCACACCATTACTTGAATGAATGCACAGACAGATCACTCCTTAAGACATGTTCATCACATCTTAAGTGTAAAGTCTGTCAGGGGCTCAAAGTACAACTCTGACCTTCTGCCTGACTTCAGACTAACACAGCTAACCACCTCTGTGCTCAGGCAAATGAAACTGTTGCATAAGTTTTTTGCTTGGCCAACAACAGGGGCATGTTTATTTGAGTATAACATTTAGAAGAGGGAAGACCACATAGCTTCTGGCTCACAGAAGAAACCATTTTTACAAACAGGCACTCCAAATTGTGTGCAAAATAAATTAACACTGCATTAATATTATCAGCAGTTGGACAGAACACTCTCAATAAAATGTTTTGAAACTTCAGAAATACTCATCCTAAGGAAGTGTCACTCTCCATCAGCCTTAAACACGAAGGTTATTTTAATAAATCACGGTTTCAAATCTACAAAAGTGGGCAGAGGAGAATAGGATGGGGTTCAACGTAGATAAATGCAGGGTGCTGCACCTTGGGAGAAGGAATCCACAGCATACATACAGGCTGGGGAGTTCCCTTCTTGAAAGCATAGAGGCA